CTTCTTCTTCTTTAGATTATGACCAAACTTTTACTTTTTCTTTTAACGATTACCATAAATGTATGAGCGAACGAATGAATGACCGAGCCATTCCAAAAAAAAAAAAAAAAAATCACAAAAGCCAAATGCATTCTTCCATCGAAAGTGTTAACCGAAGGAGGAACAGAAAACAAAAGCGATTTTCAAATTATGATCTCTGCGCTCTGGATATGAAATTGAGATTGAATTTCTTTGTGCCTAATTATAACTTCTGAGGAATGCAAATAAGAGCGAAAGTGGAACACTTTATGTTCTGTCAGTTTATGTGCGTTAATTAAGCTGGCCAAGATCATTTATTATGGCCACAATATTGTTAATGGCCGTAAATGAAAGTGAAACTTCGAATGATTCTAATGAGAGGGGGGAATTTGTGAAAAAAAGTAAATTTTAATTGAAAATCTGGGGGGGGGGTCTGTATGAAAAGTTATAATTTATGAATGGTTTCTTTTCTTTAACAATAGAGATTTAAATTTCTTTGCAGCAATTGTAATGCTTTAAATAATTGTCAATAAAAAAGATATGGCCTATAAGAAAAAATATTTTCTAATAAGGGAAAAAATTTCCGTTTCAGATGTCATTTTCTTTGAGATATCCAATGACGCAAGAGACATATGAAACAAACGATTGAAGGGCAAACATTTGTAACTTCGAAAAATTAATAAATTTATAAGAATAGATGCTTACGAAAAACAAACCAATGTATCACATCAATTCCATTATTTAGTTCGAAAAATGGCTATATTTTTGGAAATGCTTGAAAAGTATTTGGGAGCCAAATTGCTAAGGAACATTCACGGTGAATTTTAGATCCATATAAACCTTTCGAAAAAACAATTTGGATCACATTTTGATTACCTTACAATGCAAAAAATATTTTCCGAACGTATATTTTGTTATTAATAAAAGTTCGGCAGGTACTAGTCCATTGACACCAATTTTATCCAAAATTTTTTAAGTGCACCTTTTTATACCCTACACCACATAGTGGTAAGGTTATTATGTCTTTATGCATTTGTTTGTTACATGGAGAAGGAAGCGAAATCGGTTCAAATGTAGATATAGCTTCCATATATATCTTCAACAATTTGTAGGTAATTGTGCACCAATTGGCCAATATCAGTCCAAATGACCTGCATTTTGGCACATCCGACCGAATTCAATCTAGAAACAAGTACATCAAATTTGGAGAAAATCGTTTCAGATATAGGTATAGCTCCCTGTATATGTTTTATCCGATTTGGTGTTTGAGCCCCTCACATCCACAGTAAGCACTCCACTCGAATGATATTTGGTACCAGATATCGGATACACCCCAGGAATATCGCCAAATTTTATCAAGATCGGTTCAGATTTGAATATAGCTCCCATATATATCTACAACCGATTTCAGTTTTTATTGTGCACTAAATGACCAATTTCAGACCTAATAACCTGAATTTTGGCACATCCGACCGAAATCATTCTAGAAGTAAGTACATCAAATATAGCTATAGCTCCCATATATATGTTTCGTCCGATTTGTTCTTTAAGTCCCTCACATTCGTAATATGTATCGGCAACGATGATATTTGGTACCAGATATCTGATGGAGCTCTGAAATACCTTTGCCAAATTTTATCGAGATCGGCTAAGATATGGATATAGCTCCCATATATATCCTTAATCCGATTTCAGGTTTATTGTGCAAATAATGGCTAATATCAATCCAAATAGAGTGCATTTAGGGACGTGCGATTCCTTTTGGTGGAACTTGGTTGCGATACATATTTATTTAATATTCTATAGCAAAGTTATTTGGTATAAATGATAAAAATATCTCCGCCAAATTTAAAGAAAATTGATTTAGAATTGGATATGCCTCCCATATATTAGTTCCCTCTGAAACCAAATTATAGCTGCACTAAAGCCAACGGTTTATAGGTGGTTTGCCATACTTCAAATAAATTATTTTGTTACGGGAGCTCAACTAAATATGCATAGGGTATTATATAGTCGGCCCGCGCTACTTTTGACTTTTCCCTCCTGGGAAAAGTTCTCTTCATCCCGTAACAGAAAAAACTGTTCTGAAAATAGTATTATTTTTGTAAAATCGATAAAAAAAAACATAATTCCAAGTATTCAAATGTTTTCTTACATTCCCCTATTCTTTGCAATTTGCAATAAATAACTTGCCTTTTTATCGCAAATTATTCGAAGAATGCCATCGTTGCTATTAATTTCCAATGAATTGCGTTGATTATAATTTTCAACACTATCTTTTTAAAGAGAATCTTTACATTTTATTATGAAATTAGCATTCTTATTACCCTTAATCTTCTTTGGGGGGTAGAGGTCTTTCATAATTGCATTTCGCCAGACACCCTTCGTGTTTTTTTTTTGTTATTTACAGAGCATTCAAGTGAATTACAAAAATGAAACACTTTCATTGCATTTGGATTTTCTTCTTTCAGTTTTATAAGATTTGTCACCTCAACTAAAACTAATATCTACCCCGCCGCCCATCTCTCGCTCCACTTTTGGCATTCCCCTGCAGGAGTGAAGAAGCCACCAATGGAAATACCAGTTTTATTTCATTTTAATTTCCATTTCTTCAAATTCTCTCTTTCGCTGCTGATGCTGTTGCCGCTGTTTAATAAAGTCCAAAGATACTAAAAAGAAGCAGCAAAGCCAGCGTTTTCTTCTTCTTCTTCAGCGCCACACAGCAGACAGTTAGAAAGATGGCAATGCAGTAGTTAACAAATTCCAGTGATTCCACATTGAATGGAATATGAAACGAAAAAAAAAAAAAACTGCATCTCAAAGATGCAACATAAACCGCATAAACTTCCATCCAGTTCGAGTCTTGGGTTAAACAGAAGAAGTGCCTCTCTGCTTCTTGGCTAATAAAGTAGTTTTTCATTTAAACTGTTTCTTTCTTTGATTTTTCGGATTTTGTCTTTGAAAAGAGTTTTCATTTTTTATTTTCCTCGGAACAAAAGCAGCTGACGACAGAGTCGAGATAAAAAAGGGGGTCTCCGTTACTCTTGCAGAGCGGGTGGGGGTAAAAAAAGAATGAGACTGATATTTTCACTTTTATCTTTCATAGGCAGTATGGTGTCATAAGATATGAATTTAAATTCAATTCAAATGGTATTGATTTGAATGGTATGATTTGAATGGTATTCTATTGGAAATATTTACAGTTATGCATTCGAAATGGGAGAGCAAGAGATTAATAAAAACCAGCATAAAAAATTGAAAGGAAATACAATTTTCGGGAGTTATTGTCAATCTCTTTTTATAAAAAGGTATATTCGACTGGTTAGAAGGTCTGAAAATATAATTTACTCTTCAATTATTTTGGGTTGCAAAAAAAAAATGGAAAGACTACCTGTCGAATAAATATGTGTATAAGATCTTTAGAGCGATAAGTCATCCGATTCGGTTGGAAAATGTAACTGCAACCTCCGATATGCCGGGTATCAGAAAATACTTCAAATCAGATGCTTGCCATGGTATACACCTATAATGTTTCCTTTATTTTACAAGGGGAAAACTTTGGAGGACTTCTTGGAACTGGAGGACTGTCTCTAAATACTCCTCTTAGATCGCATCTAAAGACACCTATTAGTCATCCCAAAAGAAATCCTCTAATCATTATCAGAACACGACTTTTGAGTCTCTAAAATCGCCTTCTAGGTCGTCTCTAAAGACACCTATTAGTCATCCCAAAAGAAATCCTCTAATCATTATCAGAACACGACTTTTGAGTCTCTAAAATCGCCTTCTAGGTCGTCTCTAAAGACAGGCTTCAATTTAAGCTGTGGTTATAGATTATGTCTTTAGGTTGCCTGTAGAGATGCACTTTAGTTCGTCTATATATATACTATACTCTCAGCACCTCAGGCCTTATCTCTCCTTAAGACCACCCTTTAGCTCGTCCATAAAGACCACTTTTAATCTACAGAGACCAACCAGCCTTTATAGAGACTTCCTTCAACTAGTCTTTAGATACCACAATTTTGAATACATTGCTTCCCTTCAGCTCGTCTATAAAGACTCCCTCGCTTCGTACAGACATATACCAGGAAATTCCATCTATTTTAAATTTGAAGTCTTCAAAATGTGAATGTCACCAAACATTTTCTCTTCATGTTGGCTTGCAATTAGAAAATGTCAAACGGCTATTTATGTTTAGCTTATCTAACCAGCAAACGTTGGGATGAATTTTAAAATATTTAATTCTCAATAAAAAAAAACTTCAACAACCAAAATCTGTAAAATAAAAATATTTCCATTAGTGTTTGTATTAAATTTGCTCAATTTTTTTTCTATTTCAGAGCTCTTGCATGGTGTGATGGTGCTGTAAACCAATCTATTAACTGGTGATCAAAGTGGGTAATAGGAGAAAAAAGAAAAAACTAAACAACAACAGCAACACCATTCTAAGCAAATAACATTGAGGACAAAAACAGCAGAATCGAACACCCAACTTCTGACAACTCATCGTTCTTCATCAATTTCATCACATTTTTGTGGCCAGAACAAAATAAAAAATAAAAATAAAAACAAAAAACAACTTTTCACCTCTCACCGTGGCTGCTTCATTAGTTAATTGGACAGTGTTTTTCATAGTTATTCCGAGAAAGATAGAGGACGCGCTGGTTTTCTGGTGGCCACATCGGGAACAAAGCACAAGGACAAAGTTGCAAATTCAGAGTGGAAAACAAAGTTTGGCCGGCAACATAGCGGCAACGGCAACGTCATCATTGTCATAGTTATTTTTCCAAAACAAAAAAGTGAAAACTGCAAAAACACGTTCGAAAATTGAACAGGACATAGAATAGAACTCAAACACACACACACACACACACATATATATATATAAATATATATAAATTTAAATATGGGAATATCAGAGGAAAATTGATCGTTTTGCCACCAACAAAAAAACATTGCAACTACACAAACTATCAGAGGAGAGGGAAACGCCAGCTCTTCAGTATATGTTTTGCCGATTGGTCCACTACCATTTAGCCCATACATATGTGTGAGTGCTGCTTCAAATAAATTTCTACAGAAAGTGTATCCGCCGCGCGCGCTCATTTGTTTGCATGCAGCTGCAGGACAACGGCAGGGGCAGCAACCATCCGACGTTCAAGTAGACGTGAGTGAATGAGTGTGAAATATTAAAATTTCACAGAGTGTTTCATAAAAATAAACAATACGGGTTGTTTTTGCGGCGTTCAAAACGTTTGAAGTGTCGTACCAACACAACAGCAACAACAGCAAAAAATAAGAAAAAACAACAACGAGTACGAGAACTTTACCGAGCAAATCAAAATGGATACGGTTTATGGTACAAAAAAATATTTCCAAAGTTTATCGGGCGCCAGTGATATCTATCGCAGTCCAGCATGTCGGGCAGTGGTGAGTATTTATTTTTTTAATTTTTGTAAAATTTTATAACACAAAACTTTTCGATTATCTTTATACTCTACATTAAGGATGATACGCAAATATCGACTATAGTTTGCTTCACATTTATTAGTTATAAGAAAAAAATTATTCGTAAAAAAATGTGCAGAAAAATGTTTAAATTATTCAAATAATTCTCAACTTAAAAATATTAATACTGAAACGGTGGCTCTGATTCCTCTCAATGTGATAACAAAAAGCCGACTTCAGTTGTATTGTCTTTTTGGAATGTAATCCGAATTTTTTATTACAGTTTAGAGTAGCTTTTTGACAAAGGTTTTGACAGGAAGTTATGACACATTTCCGTCTCCGTAGATATCGCCAGGACTTTTGACAATGTCAGGCATGGTGAAATTTTACTAAAATACCAAGGATTATTGAAATCAGGATCACTTTAGAATAAAAATGGGTGAGCGACTGTCAAACCGCAGCCCAGTGTTGGCAAGTGTTCCTCAGATATTATTCCTTGATTTGTTGTTAAATAAAATATTTTCTTGTTTAATTCGGGCTCTCTCTCTGTGACCGTCTTCTGACCTATACTGATGATGTACTGTTAGTCTATTTTGATCCTCTTGCTAGGTCGGTTAATAAGTGCCCTCCTCAATATTTGGTGTAGCCTTTCAGGTGGTGTTTGATTGGATCCGTCATACAGACTACGTCCTGTCCAGGGCCAAATATCGGTATTTTGGATATGGTGGAATCTTGACCCATGATGTTAGGCTCATGGTCTTCCGACAGTTGAGCAGGTCCCTTGTCGCGTATGCCTTCCTGGTCGGGTTTGACATTTCATCACCATTTTTATTAACTGATGGAAATACTAAACTTATGGGAAAGAAAAATACTCTCCCTTTTAGCTGGGTCTCCGCTAACCCGCAGGGCAGATAAAATTACTTAAGGACAATCTGTGATAGGGTGCAAGTCATTGGCTTAGCCAGACATGCCATTCGAAACCATATCGGGGGAGGCCCAAATGAAAAAAAAAAATAAAATAAAAAAATAGATTCTCAAGCAAAGTTTCCAAAAAGAAATATCTAAAAATTTACCATTTCAGGAGGAGACCCGCGCTCCTGCCCCCGTTGGTGCAAGGAGATATAAATAATTTCTAAATAACTACAATTGAAATACCCCCTTAAGGCAAGAAAACGTCACTTTCTTAAGTAATTCCGTATTTAATGGCAGTGTAGGGCATCACATAACCGATTAACTCCTGAATTTCCCATTTTCCATGTTTTATTGTTTGTTGCTGTTTTATTATTTTGTGAGTTATTTTGGCACTCTACAAATCCATTAAATAAACTGCGGAGAAAAACATGAAAGGATTAAGGCTTTCAGCTTTCAAACTGACACATAATATGTTTTAAAGTTTTATTTTTTTTTTGCTGCCATTATGTTTGGAATTTATTTCTCATTCCAGTTCTGTATTTTTTTGAGAGTGGGAAAACAAGAACTGGGTTGGGGATGGAGGCGTATTTATTTTAATTTCGTTAAAAAAACATCGTAATTGTATCTTTCACACAGCTAGCTAGTCTGCAGGATGGATTGGCATTAAGGAATTTATGGAGCTTTTTTCAAGTCAACACCCACAGCCACAAGTGTGATGACTTTTTGCCAGTAGTCGCCGGAAAAACTAGGAGAAAAATATTCGTTGGTCACGTATATATCATGAATTGAAATATTTGTTTTTTTCTGGATTGGTTTGCGTTGACAAAAGTTTGTTTTTGTCTATTTTGTTAAATAGAAAAAAGTTTTAATCAAAAGCTGGAGCATTACACATGCGTCTCTAATTGGTTTGGGAGCATTAATTGAAAGGTTTTATTTTAATTGGAAAACTACAGTAGGGTGATTTATTTTAGAGTTGAGATGCAATCGTTTGAAATGGGGTGGTAATCGTGCGGTGGGGAATGGGGTATTTGTTTGACAGTCCCGGGAAGACGTTTTCCTTATTTGCCAGGAGAAAATCTAGGTACACAAAATATTTCCCCCGCGTTTTATGCCTTGGCTCACACGCATCGGATATACTCTAGTATATGCCGTAATTTTGTGTTTCTCCTGATGTATATTCACTACTTCATTTCATCTTCACATTCCTCCCATAATAATCTACATCTGCCTGAACGTATCTTTTCTCTTTGTCAAAGAGTGATTAACCTCGTAACAACCTCAATACAGGACGATTGTTGTTCTCCAACTGCCAGCAAATAATCAGGTGGACATGAAAATGACAATATCCTAGAAGTCATTGTTGGCCAGGCAAGATGATAGAGTATGGTAGTTCATATATATGATATGATGTCGTATTCCCCTCCCTCTAATCACAACAAGTTTCCCGCTTTCATTCGTTGGGTCAACGTCTTGTGATAAGCTAGACTGCTGAATGGATTTAGCAACATCAGTGTTCATCACCGCTTCCAGGGTTGGCCAGAACCTTGACTTTTTCAACCATTCGAATAGAAGCGATTTCATAGCATGAGCTTTCTTATATTTTCAGTACTGAGAGTAAGGATTATATGCTGGGTGGATGGAAGAAGCAGCAAACCTTAAGTATGTCAATGACACCAGTTAGTCATCTTGATGCCGGAGCGAAAGGCAAGATTTACCAACTCACACACACAAACACATTGTGTTGAGACAAAGCCTCAAAAGAAAAATCATGGAAAGCGATTCCAGCATCCGTTTAAAAATTCTGTTTGACTGATTTGTCTCGGTTCATAATCTAAAAGTTGGCAACATTATTAACACTCGTCCTCATCGCTTTCCACAAGTTTTTGTGTCCATGAAATTAAGACAAACTTGATTATGATCAGTTATTTGCAAAGGGGTAAAAAATATGTCCAGTTTCGAGGTTATCGATGGCAAAAAAATATATGGCATAAAAAAAGCATTTTATATTATACGATTTCATGAGCCCCAGATATCCCATGCACACAGAGGGTCAAAATTAGGAGCACTGAAAACATCATCACTTAGCTAATGCAGTTAGTATGTAGTTGTTATTACTAGTTTAGTCATTACCGCCCATTAAACCTAAAGTAGCTGGTTTAAGTCTCCTACGCTCATACAAGTCGTTAAACAACAATTAATGTTCGTACCAGTCGCCTCCATCAGGCCTATAAAAAACCAGTAAGGAAAAGTCAAAAGTCGGGCGGGGCCCATTATATTATACCCTACACCACGATGCACATTTAGTAGAGCTCCCATATCAAAAAGAAATTATTTGAAGTAGATCATACCACCTATCAACCTTTGGCTTTAGAGCAGCTATAATTTGTTTTCGGAGGGAACTAATATATTGGAGGCATATCCAATTCTGAATGAATTTTTCACTAAATTTGACGGAGACATTTTTATCTTTCATGCCAAAAAAAAGAAAAAACAAATATATATCGCAGTTAAGTTCCACCAAAAGGAAAAGCACTTCCCGAAATTCACTCCATTGGAGATGATATTAGCCATTGTTTACATTAGCACATTAAACATGAAATCGGATTGAGGATATATATGGGAGCTATATCTAAATCTTAGCCGATATAGATAAAATTTGGCAAAGGCATTTCCGAGCTCTATGAGATAACTGGTACCAAATATCATTGTTGTCATATGAATATTGCAAATGTGAGGGACTTAAAACCTCAAATCGGATGAAACATATATATGGAAGATATAGCTATATCTGAACGATTTTCACCAAATTTTTTGTATTTGCTTCTAGACTGAATTCGGGCGGATGTGTCAAAATTCAGGTTTTGGGAGATATATCTAAATTTAAATGGATTCCCACTAATTTCAATATGGTTCATCCTTGGGCCTAACAAATATTGTTTGGAAAATTTCATCTCAATTGGATAATAAATGCGTCCTGCATTTTGTTCACAAAAATACTTGAACAGACTCAGAAAGTTATTCTATGAAGTTCCGCAACTATCTGTCAATATTGTTTTCTTCTCCATGTTACATCGATATGTGGTGTAGGGTATAAATATTAAAAAAATATACAAAGATTTTGCCGATGCTCCTAGAAGTCGTTAAACAACAATTAATGTTCGTACTAGTCGCTTTCAACAAATAAAAAAATAGAGTCGTGGAAACTAAAAACAAATTCCAAATTCAGTTTTGTAAGTACTTACTTTCCACGATGTAGCCATGACGAAATAATGTGTTAGGATGCAGTTTTGTAGGTATTGACTGGGGTAATTATTTACTTTTGCTGGGTAGAACTTTTTATTATTGACCAGTCCAAATCTTATCTAATTTTTCCAAAGATATTTAAGACTACGTGCTCGAATTGTCAGAATTCTAGTGTCTCAGGGAAGTAGGGGAGTCCTCAAAGCGTGCAAGATGCTCTAAATTCATTTTAGTGCCCCAATCAATTCAGGTCCAACGATTTTTTACTTTTAACCAGTCAAGCCCACTTTTGAAAACTTTGTTTTGCCTTAAAAATGTCAGTAGGTGTAACCCCAATTATGGTTTTTATTATTTTCTTGGAAAGTGTTTTCCACAAACTTGTTCAAAAACCATATAAATTAAAAGCGAATACCACAAAAAGGTATTACAATTTATTATTAAAAACAAAATTAAACCTGTCAAAGTTCAATGCCAATGATTTGTAACGAATATTGGTTATATTAAATGTAAGTGTACTCTGTGTTGTGCTAAGCAACATCCCTACCAATAGCGAAGAATTTTCTTTGGCATTTCCAACTCTCTTCCATTTTTGTCTACCCCCCCAAGAAAAAATAGAGTTCCCCAAAAATGCAATAAAATATTCAAATGAGAAAAAAGTGAGTGATTCTTTTTTGAACCGTCTTCACATTTACTTTGCTTTGAAATTTCTACAAATTTTGGCAAAATGAAATACAGACTTGGATGTAAAGTCCAACATCATTTGAATAGCAAAGGTGATATTAAATTTCCGACACTTTTTTTGTTACATCGACATCCTGCCGTCGATGTAA